GTTACCAAACGGGGCTTCAAACCTAGATGTAATGTCACCTTAATTGCACACGAGTGAAATGGATCAAGAACGTTAATTACCGTACTTTTGTATTCTTTTCTGTTTCAAAGTCATTGGTAAATGGAACTAAGAATGTGCTTGTTGTTGCTAGCCAAATATCATGATTGTCACAAGTTGCATTTGGAAATTCTCGCAAGAATCTGTTCATACATTTGAGCCGGCACAACTGCAACTGATAGACAAAAGGCACTCGTGAAAACGGTTTGCACCTATTTCCACACGCAAATTCGTCCGTCATCCCCGAGGGAATAGAGGCGATCAGTACTGTAGTCGAACACGACAGATTGAACCGCGTCGTCATGTCCCTGCAAGTAGGACATCTGCGCAACAGAAGCGAGAGCGAGAGAGTGTGTATGTGTGCAATGAATTACTCGATTAGTCATCGTCATCATCCTTATTACTACACGTCAGCTAAACGTGAGAGAAGCACCTTGGCTATCATGCTGTAAAATATATGAAAATCGAAGTACCACATATTACAAACTGCAAATAAAAACGAAAAATTAATACCTCTAGCATCATATTCAGTGTGAAATCGTGGTTGCAGGGGGAGGCCAAGTCGGAAGGGGCAAGGAAACTCCCCACACAAACGCCATTGAGATCGGCTCCTGACCATATAGGCAAGTGTCTGCAACCAAAGGTGTTAATCTTCCTCGGGACCCCAATCCAGCAGGCGGGAGACACTAACCGATGCCATGTTCGAACTGTGGGTCTCCATTCCTCTTGACCAAGTCACCGGTTGATCTCCTCTTCTATCCAGGCCTCGGTTGCGCGAACAGTGCACATCGTGAGGAGTGTGTTGGCATGCGCAACATGTGGTCCAGCCATCGGAGCCTGATGCGTGAAATAGCTGTGCTGTGCGGTTCACTCACTCTTCCTGCACCAAATACACGACGCATACTACGCTCACTACTCACACGATGTTCCCACCAAACATGAGTCACACTGCGAACGCAGCGGTGGTCGAACGTAACAAGCCTCTTTATGTAAGTCGATTGGATGGGTCAAGTTTCGCAACCGTACATGGGGTTGAACGCACGGCTGCATTGTAAACTCTGACCTTCAGGACGAGAGTGATGTCGCGTCGGCGCCACAGGTGACATGTAACCGCGAGCTACATCTAGCTTGTGTGCCCGCCCCAACAAGACAAGGCCCTCTGCTGATCCTGGAGGGGATAGGGGGTTTACCTGATTTGGTTACGTAACGTTTCAGCCATTTCACCCAATAAGAGTATGAATGCATTGGACGCGTTTAGCTACGTGCAGCAAAACCTCTGAGCGTTCTTACTGTGTGACGTCGGGGAACGAAGTCGCTGACCATTACCTGAGACGTCCCTCTTACTTTTTTTGTCTCTGCAAAAGTAAAGCTTGAACGTCCAAGTACCGGGGGCCTTGGCTTGCTTACCGGCACACGAAACGGGACGCTCGTTAGGCGAAGGCCTGTTTCGTCCCTGAAGATCTGGCCTCATCTTGAGAGCGTTAGTCCCCTCGCCTTCCACACTGCTGAGGCCTTTCCGCACAGTCTGTGCTACTCGAGTACCTACAGGGATTGACTCTCAACCAACAACCGCTGTCTCTCATTCAGGCCACCTGTTTAGTGCTTGGGTTGTCGCGTAGTATACAGGATGAGGTTGATTACAACGCTGGACACTGAAAACCGCAAGGAAGCCGTCCCACCGATGTTGTGTTAGTTTTAAAAGATAGCCAGCTGTTTGTAACCGTGTTTTGTTGACAGGATGTAGGCAATTTGATTCTGAATGTTCACCCGGCACATTGAGGCTTTACACTGGATCCCTCATTCCTTTTGTGATCACCTTTTGTTAGTATGGCACATTTGGCAGTGTGGTAACCGTGCGACCTATCGCTACACAATTGTGGCGCTGTGACAACCTTCTAGTCTCCACGCAACTTTTATTTCGCCAGACCTAACATGACGCTATTGACCTTAGGTCGAATTGGTGTATGTTGGTGCAGTGTAAGCGAACCGTTCTTGTTCTGAGAAAAAGGCCTGACGGCGCGCATGCTTGCTCTTCCATCCAATATACGCACAAGTGCTACCATCTATTGGTGAAATTTTCCGCGCACAGCTAGACATTGGGAGCTGGTAAACAATATGAATCGTACGCACGTCTCCGATGTGCCGGTATCCATCCGATCCCAATCTAGTCCCAGGCAGCATTTTTGACCAGCGTCTAAATTTCGCTTGTACACAGGTGACTTCCGTAGCCCAGGGCCCTGTTACCGACCCACATCGTTCCTTCATAGGGATCTGAGTACCCACGCAAATGCTCTGGAACTGTAGTATTGTGTTGGACTTGTCACCCGGTCCACTTTTATTTGATTCCATACTTCGGCCTCGACTCGCTATACGTGGCAATGAGGTGAAGGAGATACGGGTGAATATTCTGGGGGGTTCGCCAGAGCGTGACTGCATGTGTTTTTGGATTTCCTTGACGGTCCGCTACTTGAAAGGCCCTCGCGATATCGTTAAGAGGACCTTCGCTTCTTCGAGTGGAGTAGTCAGAAATTTATACGTATACAATTGCACGCATTTTCTATCTGGAACCGTTTTCATACATCAACAGAACTTCTATCACACCTATCTATACCTTTTCTCAGGCAATTGAATCCAAAGCGCTTTCAAATTCATCCTTAAAGAAATTATATTCTTCCATAGATCTTTCAAGATGGTCCTTAACGCCTTTACCTTGAATCCAATGGGCGCAAACACTCCTAAAAATTACGTGCTGTTCGTTGAGTGGCCAAGCCCAAATAAGTAGATAGTACAACAGATGAGCACACAGAGTAACATGGTACTGTTTGATTTGGATTTGGTCACTCAACGGAACCGTAGCATTTAGGGGCGTTCGTGCCCGCTGGATTCAAATTGAAAGCGTTATGGACCACCTTGAAAGATCTATAGAGGAACATGATATCCATAAGGAGGAATTTGAAAGCTATGGATTCAGTTGACTGGGAAAGATATACACCACTTAATAATTTCGCCATTCAGCATAGGCATAATCAATTTGTAACTCTAGCCAGTTGGCTCACCTTATTAGTCCACACCGCTACGTTTAACCAATAGGTTACATCACACTGGTGAAGTATTGGATCAAGTGACTGGCATGATTCTGTTCTTTTTACGACTCACCTGCTTGGCCATTACTTCCAAGTAGCCAATGTTGGTGTCAGCACATGCTGCGGCCACATACTTGCCGCTCAAGTCGAAAGCTAACTGTTTGATAGACGGGTTAAAATGGGATTTCCTGTTCTGTGACCAGTCCATATGTGATAGCGTGATGTCTTTTCCCGCATCGGGATGACGCCCAAACCGACGAAGGTCCCAAATTCGAATGGATCCACCGCTGTCGCAAGAGGCGATACAAGTGCCCTGTTGATTGAATGTTGCATGGTTAACTGAATGCTCATGTCCTATCAGACTCCGTATGCAAATTCCCTGCAAAAAGAAGTCAGAACACTTGTAGTTCATCAACCAATTGATCGGTCTGTTGTGTTCATTGTTGTGTAGCTCATCAGAAGACAACATGCGTATTATTCCACCAAAATCTAATAACTAAAAAACGATATGCTAGTTGTTACGTACAACCAGTGGTGACAACTATGGTAATATGGTCTACCATTGAATCTGCATTCCGACCAGCTAAATTCCATTGGCCAAATGATGCTCAGCCCTGTTGACTTGTGCAAGCCAATCGCATCTCTCCGTGCTTCTCTAGGTGACAGCGACTTATCGATGCTACCTTGAACCAATCACTTATGTGACAAGGTGACGTGACGTGCTAGTCGGAAAATTCTAGCGTTCTTGGATTATCTGCTACTGTGCCTCCAATTTTCATCGTAATCCAGCCTGCATACACTCATTTGATCAAGCTCGACGTGCTCTTTCCAACGCGCAGCGTATATCGAATCCAAGCATTACAGACGACTATCTCCCGTCGATTTTTACATTTTCCGTTTTCTCTGTGGAGGTATACACAAGGAATTTCTTTCGGTTTGCATCCTACACCACAAATTGTGACCTTTTTGGAAGCCCAACATAAGGGCTCTCTAACAACTACACGACTGCTTTTATCGGTAGCTGCGTAAGGCAGATACAGGTGGCAATATAGGGGATCTACCGCTAATCTTTCGATTGTGTCGCAGTCATTGAGGCTGCTACCTGAAATCAACCCACTGGCCACACACCACTAGTGCCACAGCAAGAAGCACTCTGACCAGATCGATAGCCTGTGCTTCGTTCCGAGGCCTGTCTGGATTCACCTGCAACCACTTGTGACCTGTCACGAGAAAAATCAGGAACCCTTGTGCTGACCCGACTGCTAACCGGTGTGTCATTGGAACGGTGAGACAACAACAACACGTTTGGAATTGGTGGAGAGCTCGCGTTTCCAAAGTAACGGCGTGTGCAACTCGGAGGCGGAGATTCAAATAGTTCACTGCGGTGCGTTCTTTTTGTTCCTAACTAAATCGCCCAGTTTCCGGGAGTTGCCATTTTTACCAGCATTATATTAGACGTGGATTTTCAGTTAAAGATCAGAAGCTAGCACCCATTGTCTTAGCTCCTTTGATTTTGCTTCAGTGTATCTTACTTCGGTTTCATTATCATGTCTACAGTAAGGACACACTCGATGAGGAAAAGTAGTATTTTAGGCCAGAATGCTTCAGTTTTAGTGCGAAACCTGAGACAAAGAACTAAGGTACTCCACACATCGGCTGGAAGCAGTAGTAAAGAAAATACCCATAACAGTGTAGGCTCTGTGAGAAATTCCCTTGGACTACATCCTAAGCTGAGAAAGACACCTGAAAAATGTCCATCCGTAGCCGAAACTGCATACGCCGAACTAGAATTAAAAGTCGACATGCTCACATCGATAATGCAACCTTTATCGTCTAGCTGCTTCAAATATTGATAGAATGAACCTCATGAAGTGCAGTGTACTGATAGACTCCATTTCGACCGAAGTACACAATCGAGTACGCTGTTCACGCAATGCCGTGGTTTCTAATGTACCAGACAATTTACCATTAAAAGTGGTTCAGAAAGTGATTTTCACTGCATGCGGCATGCAATCTTGTTGGTCAAGCTGCATCAGATTATGCAAAAATGTAATGCGTAAAGCGTGTCCCATACTTTTCCAGTTTTAAAATGAACTAATTACTAAATAATTCATTCAAAAGCGCAATCTCATTGTGCTTAATACGACTTTCAAACGTCTGAAAATTATGGAGGACAAAACCCCGTTACAACGAGAGATAAGGAGGCGAAAGTCTGAGGTAAACCAGAATACCAAACAGCCATATGGCGCCCCGCATCCAGTTGATATTTCTGCACTTAGTGGCCACCACAAATGTGAGGATACTACTCCGCTTGCTGCAAATAGGGACGTAGCGGTGAATGATAAAGTGATTTTTGGAATTAACGAGGAATCACATGAATATGCGGACCGTTCTATTGCATTAGATGCTGTGTCCGGTAGAACACCTAATTCTCGCACTTCGGTTATGATCAACGTCAGATGCAAAATTGGTTACTGGAGGACCTCCATTAGGCCGCAGTTTCACGGCTAAGCATGATAAGCCGACCAAGCCTAAAACCACTACAATCCACAAAACTAGTGATGTGGATGGTGCTTCCTCTTGGATAATCAGTTCTGGCAGTCATATAGGGTTTCCTAATGCTGTTTCCTGCATGCGAAAGTGACAACAATGTGGATCAGCGAATAACAACTGCATTACCTGCTAAATCCCAGTTGCATGCAAAACCGCTACCTTAAGCCTCGAACTGTCATGTCCCGCCTAAATTATGTTCTTCTCCGTTTTCAAACTCATCAAGAATATCGATGGATCCGGTCAGATTGATCGATAGTAAAAGGACGGTTGACCTAGATTTATAGCACGCGTCATTAGGCGACTCTCATCATTTTGTTTGGATAGACATACATCCATTGGTCATAAAGTTATGGAAGACGTGCCGCCATCTTTGCACCTTGCACACGGTGTAATTGGGTATCACGACTTTCCGATTCCATCAACGAACCACATGGATTATGCTGATGTTGGTGTATGGATTGACACCAGTGTGCCTCCACCGCGTATAGTGAAGCCTTGTATATCGAGCGCACTTAAGCGGATTTTACCCATAGATGGAAATAACAGCAACCCACTGACTCCTATCAATGCGTTATGTAATCAACAGCCTATTAGCGACATGATGCAGAGGACACAACCTAACTCTCCAGCTCCCACAGGCTATTGCAGAAATCATGGACTCTTTCCCTCGAAGCATTTTCTAGATGGCCATACTCAGTCTCAACCACCTCCGCTGTGGCCACCACCAAACCATTTTCCACCGTTGGGAATACGCTCACTTTTTCAACAATATCTAACCTAGGTCCAGGCACACGGCTTGAAACACCAGTGTTTAGAACACAACCTAAAGAATCTTCCTCATATATCACATCTATCGCAGTATTTTTGATAAACATTCGCTCTCTTTACTCTAAGATCCATGCACTACGCTCATTTGTTTTGGTGAATAATCCTGATATAATATTTATAACTGAATCTTGGTGCCATGATGACATGTCTGACAATCAGCTAACTGTTTTCGGATATGACAAGTTTATGAGAAATCGGCCTAGTCGTCGAGGTGGTGACTGTGTAATTTATCAGAAAAAATCGCTCGCAGCAGCAATATTCGATAACCCAGTGTTGAACAATGTTCAGGAATCACTCTAGCTTACGATATCTGTTAATCAGCAGCAGATGCTTATGGAATGTATATACAGCGCGCCAAACTGCAGCCAAGAAGACCAAGAACTTTTGACGCTAGGATTTACATACTGCTAGCCTACCATTTATACATAAGATTATTGGAGGTGATTTCAGTCTGCGTTCGATTTCATGGCCCATAGGAACCGCTCCTTTGAAATACCAAAATCTTATCTCCCGTATCCAAATGAATGGTTGGCAGCAACACGTCTCCAAACCTACCAGAGGTGACAGTACTCTGGATTTCATTTTTTCATTGGGTATACCTGCAATCAGTGTTAACGTTCTTGATGAATTTCCGGGGAGTGATCACCGCGTGACCAAATGCCGCATAAGATTACGCATGGCCGATGTACAGAACACAATGCATTATCGTCTGTTCAGTTCCGTCAACTGGAACTCTTTCAAGGACCTGGTTCGTTCGATGAATTGGGATAACTTCTTTCTCTCTTCATGTCCTCAACATTCGACGGACCTATTTTATAGTATAATTGGCTTTTACATCGATTCAGCGGTACAACTAAAATGTGCTTACCAAAATAACCATAAGTCCGATCGCAAGATGTTGAAGGCAGCACGAAATCTTCATAAGATTCGGCAGAAATTCAGGTTCACTGCTGACTTTGCGCTATTATTACAGCAACTAAAGCTTGTCGAAGAAAAGAGGCATCATAATGACAAAACTCTCATTCTGAAGAGTATAAAACCGAACGGACCTAACAAAACAGTTAGGCTATCCGAACTATTCCGTGTCCGGGGTTCGTGTTGCAACAACAATTTCAATATTATCACAACGTTTGATGGAACATACAACGACGCAACAGGTGATATCTGTGGAGGTTTCAGTGTTTGTTTTGCCCAATCAATGATCAGTGAATCATCAGACACACCAACGTTTATCATGCCGCACAACAATGAAAATCTATGCACAGTGGAATTCGCTACAGCGAAAATCCCTGGTCAAGTCTATCCCTTATGCTCGTCAGCGTGCGCAGGCCCTGATGGGTTTCCCCCTTGTTTAATAAGAAACAGTGGTAGTGACTTGCTTCTGCTGTTGCTCAACGTCTTTACACTCCCTTTTAACAACAGGGTATACTCTACTCGATGGAAAACTTTTGTCGTTATTCCGTGACACAAAAATGGCGCTGCCCACGAAGTTAAAACCTTCGTTCCATCAATCACACTCCCATCGTATCTAGAATAATGGAAAGGATAGTGAAAGAAGAACTATATATATTCTTGAACAAGGCTAACATCATCAGCAATTCGCAACAGGTCTTCATGCAAGGTCGATCCTGCGCAACATGCCAGACAGACTTTATAAACCACAATACGGCTGCCATAGACAACGGAAACAGTGTTGTAATCATGTTCCTGGATATTCAAAAGCCTTTGATAGAGTACCTCACAGAAGGTTAATGAACAAACTAAAGGCAATAGGCATTGGAGAACTGATGCTTTCTTGGCTATTTTCATATCTAATTGGTAGATAGCAGGTGGTGCGCATCGGCGACCATTTCTCTAAACCGAAAGCAATCACCAGTGGAGTGATTAACCGAAAGCTGAAGTTGCTGCGAATTTTCAGCGGATGCTATCGAAGGCTGCGCGGCGATCTCATGTTAGCGTATCAGATATTGAGTGACCCCAACCACATATGCCGCCGCT